TGGACGAAAAGGCGTGCCTCTGTTGGCAGGTGAATTTGCGTGTGGACGTAGTCTCGTCTACGGAGGAGTGTGTAAGTGAGTGTGTGTGTGTGGGTGTGTGGTTACCCACTCCCCACAGCACAGAATTGTTAAAATTCACAACTCACGGAAACGGGCGGCCGACTGCGACTCACGGCTCACGCTCACGATCTCAGCATTTCAGCATTAGCCATATTGACTTGGGCCCTCGGGGAGGCGCCACTGACACACGACAGCCACACACACGGCGACCCCAAGTCGGGAAAGGATAGCACTGCGAGGCCGGGACCAACGCACGCCCTCTGACTGCCACCCGGAACACCGTCATTGCGTCAGTGTAAGCCGAAACGTCGCACGCCAAACTGTCGGCGCGCAGCCACGAGCATGCCCATAGCAGACAGTAAGAGCGCCGCAGGGAGGAGGAGGTACACAGCGAAGGTGTAACGCCCGCAGAGTCGCGCCCCCCGGCAGCTTGCTCAGGTAAAAGCCACCAGCCACCGCCCCAGCCAACGCGCCCATCACGCACGCACACCGGCGCTGAGGCGCCCGACCATGAGTCTGTCGTTCGTACCCTGGGCCGCCACATTGCAATGGTGATGCGTAGGAGCCGGCGGGCGGCACGTGCCCGGCGGGCTCGTGCCCGGCCGGCGTGGGTGGCGGGCCGCTGGGCGGCGGCGTCCACAGCTGCTGCGGTGGCGGCCGCAGCTGTGGTGGCGGCGGCCGCTCGGCAGGCGTTGAGCCTGCGGTTGGATTGGCGTGTTGGGCTGGCGCTGGGCCGCGACCAGAGCTGATACCATGTGACGGCGGAGTTGACGTCTCCGTCGGTCCTAGCGGCGTGGCTGAGGGCGGCGGTGGAGGCGCCCGAGGGCGCGGCGTGGCTGGTCTCATGGGTCTAGCAAACCATAGACCGAACTCAAGTTCTCGGGCAGGCGCCCGGTGCGTTGGTCGTTTTTCGTCACGGGAACACAGGAGCGACACACGACAAGAAGAAAATACCTCGTATGGCGCTGTGCGCTGGTCTATGGAGGTGCGAGCCCTGGACGCCCTGGGGATGGGGGGAGGACCTTCACATGTGTATGTTGTGGTTGTGCCCGTCGCGCGGCCCGGCGGCGTGCGTATCGGCTCTGTCAGGCTTGCAGCTAGGGCGGCGGGGGCCACCGCCTTCACCTTGAGCTCGATCCGGGATTGCGTTGCGAGCCGCAGCAGCCCCAGCCGCGAGATGCCGGAGCGCATCATCGTCGACACCGACATGTCCGTCGACGTGGACGATGTGGGAGCGCTCTGCCTAGCGCACGCTCTCCAGGACCGCAACGAGGCGGAGATCTTGGCGGTTACGCACAATACCGGCCTCGAGCAGGGCGTCGGCGCTGTGTCGGTGATCAACCACTACTTTGGCCGTGATGACATTCCAATCGGAGCTTACCGCGGTCCTGTGGGCCGACCTGCGGACACGCCAGCCAACCCTCCGATCGAGTGGACCAACAGCGGGAAAGGATGGTATGTCGCGGACCTGGTGGCTCGCTTCCATTCTCCCATCCGAGACTCGACGCAGGTGCCAGACGCACTCACTGTCATGCGACAAGCGCTCTCCAACGCGCCGGGCCATCGCACAGTGACGATTGTTGCCATCGGCCACGCGCTCAACGTCCTCGCCCTCCTAAAATCGCCTGGCGGCTTGTCGTTGGTCAAGCGCAAAGTCAAAAGGCTGGTCTGGATGGGGGGCACCTACTGGGACCCGCACGTCGAGTGGAACTGGGGCGCGTGCGGTGGCCCATCGAACGAAAACGCCACCAAGTGCGGCGCGTACAGCAAGCTCTCGCAGCTCACCTCGGACGCTCTCAGCCGCTGGCCGGTGGAGGTGCCTACCGTGTTCGTGAGCTTCGACATCGGCTTCTGGGTGCGGGTCGGCGGCGTGCTCAAGACCGGAGCTCCCGTAAACAGCCCTTGCCGACAGGCCTTTGTCGACTTTTGCGGCGTCACTGGTGGTAGCGGCGGGATGCCAGACTGGTGCAACGCGCGCGGTCGCAACGCGTGGGATCTCATCGCTGTCTTGATCGCCGTCCGTGGCACAGGCCCACCCGGCTACCACCGGCTGATGCCCGGAGGCAACGCCTTTGACGCGGCCACTGGGCTGAACACGTGGAGAGACGAGCCGCACAAGGCGCAGTGGGGGCACTTCCAGCTATGGTCTCCAGAGGACTCGTACAACAAGACCGCCGACGAGATAGACAGGCTGCTGCTGCAGACGCCTGCCAACAAGTTCCCGCCCTCACCGCCGCAGCCCCCCTCTCCGCCGCCGCCACACAATCCTCCGCCGTCGCCACCACCGCCGCCACCGCCGCCACCCCCACCCAACTACCCGCCCCTTTTCACCTATGCGAGGAGGGGCGGAGGGGCGGAGGCCGCAGCTGCGGCTGAGTCCGCCAGCGCCACCCGCGGCATAAATGGCGTGCAACACAGCCGTTCAGTTGGCGCCGCCGCCCCCGCCCTCGTCGGGGCGGCCAGTGGAGTGGGCCTGGGCGTCTTGGCCATTCTCCTCATCCGCCGGTTCTGCACGATTTATCGCAAGGGCCACGCGGAGGAGGGGCAGGAGGAGCGATCGCCGCCGCAACGATTGAGCTCCAAGACGGGGGGCGAGAGATTTGTGCGCAAGATGAGCACGAGCACAAAGGCCCGTGCAGATTTGCGCGCACGCGAGAGTGGGGGGCTGCTCGCTCCCAACGTCCGGCGATCCGATGCCGATGAGGGTGTCGAAGTGTGTAGCTGAGCGTCGTACATCCCCACACATGCAGTGAGTCATGCACACAGTGGTCAGTGCACACATGCATGCCGCCGTCAAGTCGGCGCCAGTCTGCGGCGACCACAGCCTGTGCCACAGCGCTCACCGCAGGGAGATATATGCGAGCGCTTTTCACATTTTCAGAGTCAAGCGATTGCGCGAAATCCCACCCCGGTGGATTTTGGGGCGCGCTGCGCACCCCCTAATTGAGTCAGTCAGCAGCGGCGGCCCAGCGCGCAGCCGGCAGCGCAGCTCGCGCGAAACCCACAACTCAGCAGACACAAGTATACGCGCTCACTCACTCTATATACACGAATCACGCGGCCCCGGCAACCAGATGGACACATTGTCTCGCAGATTTACACGCAATCGCCACGGCCACCCCAAGTGCAGAGAGAGAGACGGATCCCGGCTGTGTGCCCACACAGCTCACAGGTCGCCCCGCGGCGCCCAGAGCGGCACAGCCGGGCTGCGCAACTCTTCACCGCTCGACAGAGCGCTAGAGTTGCACAGCTCGCGCCCGTCCTCGCGCCCCCCTCCGCGCTCTGCCCGCCCCCCTCCAGCATGGTGCGCGGGAGGGAAGGGGGGGGGGGGGGGAGGGGGGCAGCCCGGCCACAGAAGTGGAGGGGGAGCGCCCCCC